CTTAGTATGATCAAATATTTGCCTGTCCGTCTGGGTAATACCCAGACACTCGTTTGCTTAAAAAACTAAGTTCGATACTTAGTGTAAATTTAATACTGACTAGAAACTAAGCACAAAAACGTTTAGTGGCTACGCAACCGGTCTCAAACAAGACCAGAGGCTAAAATGGCCGGATGATTGCTCATTTTATAAAATCGCCTGTCCCAACAGGGACAAAGGCGTCCGACGACATCCCTCCGGGTGCAATCGTCGCAAAGAACAAACTATTTGCCGGTTCTACGTATCCATGCAGACGATAAAGATTGAACGACCAAATTGGTCAACTCATAGCCGTCTGACCAAAATAACCTATGAAGAACGAATAAGTTCCCAGATACCGGATGCCCATAGGCATCAGTCGGTCGCCGGCTGAAGTTCTCACAGGTTATTTATTCCAAAAATTGCACCTCACCCCAATTGGGGCAAAAGAGTTCAATGGCTATGAAATCTCTACCAAGATGGACATACGTCGTCTGTGTAGTGACCGAAAATGCCTGTTGGTGTACGGCTGTGCACTTGGTTTGGGGCAATCACTACTCTGATTGATTGACTTACAAATATATCATGCTCTTTGCAGCATCAGACGTTTTCAAGCCAATCAACCAACTCCACTTGAAACCAATCACACAGCCGTCCAAGGGCAAGGACAGCCAGGCTATTGACTAGTTAGGCAAGATATCGCCGCATGCTTTTGATAAGTTAGGCAAAAAAAATGAAAAATTAAAATTTGCACAAAATAAAAATTCAAAATGATCAAAATCGACTCAGTCGGTGCATTTCATAAAAGTTCATCCAACCAAATGGTTGTAATGGATCAAATGTTAACCGAACCCCGTCCGGGAGAAAGAAATTGTTAATTAACCCGGCTCTACAGCCGGTAAATACACAGATACTCTCGGCACGCAGGCCGGGAAAAGCAAGTTTTGGCATACATCCGCTGAATAAAAAGAAAATTAAAAAAGCAAAGATTGGCATACTGCCGCTGAGGGGTCACTTCTGGCCTGCAGACAAAGCCTCCTGGTCCTCCCCCTCCTCTTCACCATCTGAGGGTATCTCCTGTGCTTCACCAGGATCAGGAAGATCAGGCGCGGACGGCTCATTGTTGGAGTTGACCGAGGCTTCGAAAGAGGCAGGCTCTGGCTCGCCTTGTTCTCTCAAGTACACCACGTACTCGGCATAGCGTTGCGCCAGTGCCTAGATGCTATAATCAGCGTCTGGGTACAAGGCAGCCCAGGAAATCTTCATACGGGCGTCGTTGTCAGCATCACTCTCAGCAATAAGGCGGTTTTGTTCCGCCTCCAGGGTTGCTGCAAAGTTTTTCTGAGCTTGAACAGCATCCTTCTCCAACCTCTCAACCTTGGTCTTCAGTTTGCCAAGGTCCGCCTGGGCCTTCTTGAGCGCCTCATCAGCCTTTTTGGCGCTCTCGTCCGCCTTCTTCTGGGCCTCCTCCGCCCCCTTCTTGGCCGTCTCAGCATCCGTAGCCCGCTGGTCGGCCGCCTTCAGATCTAGCTCCAGCTGGTGGATTTTAGACGTCTGTGTCATAATTATTGCTTTAGTTTCAAGTTCATTTACGATAGTCGAGTGTAAAGCAATATTATCAGCGTCTATGGCGGACTTCTTGGCCCTTTTTACCTCTTCCCGTTTGCGGGAATAAGGACGCTTGAGCCCGTCCACCCGCAGCATGGCCTGCAAAAAGTCAGGCGGGATAAGTATGGCTGGCGGGATAAGACACTTCGAAAAAATAAAATTAAATTGACAAGTTTCTTACCTCAGCCAGAAGGGATAGAATGCGTTCAAGATTGAACGTCTCTATCCCAGGGATATTGTCCTTATCCCTCTTCCGGACGGCTTCCAGCATGGCCTTGGCGTGCTTCTGGACGTCTGGCCAGCGGGGAGATTGATCTGCACCACAATCAATACGTGATGAGTGCGAAACTAAGGCAGCACCTATCTGTTGCCGACCGTCTGAGGATGACGTCTGTTGGGAGTGGGATTTCACCCGTAAAGGCCACCCCAACTCAAGCGGGGATTCAAAAGGGTTCTTACCTTCAGAGCCGGCCAAGCGGGAACCGATTGCAGGCGTGGTGAACCCCGCAACTGCTGATAAGGGGTTGACAAGATCAAGGCACACGCTGCCGCCTACCTTCTCGAGTCGCCCCGATATCCGCATCTTCTTAGCCCCGGCTGAGGCACCAGGTGATGCAGAGGTGGACTTTTTGATCTTGTTGAGAACGGCAGGGTTCTCCTCCCTAGCCCGTTTGAGTTGCTTCTCAAACGACTTTCCAACCTCTCCTCCCTGAAAAAATAACCAAAGTTAAGGATAGCATCCGGGAAAATGATTTTAAAGGGTCAACGTATGAAAGGGTCAGGCGTTTGTTACCTTGGCCTTGAGCTCAGCCGCAGCTTTCTCCGCAAGATCTTTGCGGATGGTTGCAGAAGACCGTTTAGGAGTTTTCTGCGACTGCAGCATTTTTAGAGCTTCATCTGCAAAAAGAAAGAAATTGGTCAATATCTTGAATCAATTTCGATAGAAAAATACTACAGACGATATAAGCTCAGGCGCATACGTTTTGTAAACATGTGCCCTAACCCGCAGGCGGCTAGAAAACACTCATTCCTGAACCAGGTGCTCTTGGGGATCCAATTTTTGGGGACTTTTATTGTTTCCCCGGTAAACAGAGTTGCGTCTGTGAGGCCGAAAAAGTCTGCCTCAATTATTTTTTCAAAATCTTCCTCTGGGATCCGGGGAAGAGCGCACTTCCTGCCCAACAAGTCGGGCTTCTTATTGTACAGACGGAATTCATAATTTTCCCGTCTGGTTGGGGCTGACATCAGGTAGATTCTGTGCTTCCAGCCATCGAACTTTGAGACCATGTCCAAGGTCATCATATATTGCGGCTGCGTGGTTAGAGTGTACCACGCCCTCCAGCCGCCTGGGCTTCTGCTAAGATAGTGCATGCTTGCAAAAGCCTCCCAGCCGGGGTTAAGCCCCTGGAACTCGCAAGCGGCAACATACCTCAGAATGTTGGTCCAGGAGTTGGGGGTAAGTTGCCAGACCCCAAGGCCGTAGCCTCTCAAAATTGCCTTCACCGCCTGGTGAAGGGGGAAGCGAAAGCCGGCTTTGAACGCCGCCTCATAACAGCCAAAATAGCGTTCTCTTGATCATCCCCCCAGGCGATGGTGCCCAGCTGAGGCGGCACCCGGATCTTATACCCGTCTCCTAGCGGGTGCATTCTCTTAAAATGCTCTAAGTTCTCCCCCATCTGGATTCGGTCCTTGGAGGAGACGTGGATGTTGAAGGGATCTTCCTCCTCGCTATCTGGAAGAGGGGGCAAGTCATCGCTGATCTCGGAGGTAGAGGCGGAGCTGTCACTCTCCGTCTCCCCCTCGCTTTGGTCCATGGGGGCAGAGGCGGCCTCGTCGCCGCCTTGGTCGCACTCTTCCAAAAAAGAGTCTGCAGGGGTTGAAGGGGCTCACGGAGGGGATCTCTCCAGAGCCGTCTGGTTTCCCTGACCAGACGTTTCTCCCTCAGGCGTTTGGCCGCCTGAGTTTTCGCTCTTGTAATTCGGGTCCGTGGCCGTCTGCATTGTCCGAGCCATGGTGTCCTGCACAGACACATAACTGGTCGGAATCCATGGCAAAGGGTGGTCCCAACACCTCGAGCCGGCACTCCCAGTCCTAGACTCAGCCGACCCTGGTGACCGGCTGGACTCTAACCTAGGCTGTGCCGTGTGTGTTGGTGATGCATCCATTTATTGCAAGAAATATGTACAAGCGGTGAAAAAAGAAAAGAGCTGAGAGAGACAGAGACGGTACTTTTTGATTTGGTATCTGAACGTAGACGGGACCGGCTGTATTGCTGAAGAACAAACTTTCTTACTCGCGTCTGCCTCAAACAAGTGACTTTTGCTCTCTCAAAGTTTTTCTCTCTAGGAAATTTTTGTAAACGTACAAAATTACGAGGGTAAAACGGCTATATATAGAGGGTAAATTTAGGGGCATTTCCGTAATTTACCCGGAAGGTGAACGGTTACTCTGTAACGGTAAAATTACCGCCAACCGGAGCGTGACATGTATCACAGATGCCACGTCGCGTGCCACGTCAGTTCTGTGAGGGGCAAATGTGTAGGGTAATTTTACCCTACCACGTGGCCCAATCAGAAGGTTACACGTGTCAGCCCTAGATTGTTCTAAAATGGACCAATCCTTGCTCGACACGTGTCATTCCCTAAATCAAGGGAAAAGGCGGCCTTCAGGCCCAAATCCCGAGAATGCCGCCAAACGGCGCAGCCCACCAATGATTAGAGTTCAGTAACCTAACCAGGGGCACAATTCCCAAAGACCCTATAAATAGGGAGATGTCCCTCATTTTGAGGGCACGTTTTTGATCATTTATTGCACACTTACTCTTTGATAGAGACATCCTGAGCTTGGAATCCGAGCAGATCCCTACCTAAATTTCCGCACCTTTTTTCTCCCTTCAAGTTTCTAACTTGTGCGTCGGAGGCGGAGCACCACCCAACTGGTGTCTCCGTTTGTTTTGCAGGTACAGCTCACCCCGGATCAGTCTTCGTGTTGTAACTCTCCCGAGGGACAAAAACACCCAAAACACTTAGATACGGCACTAATTAGATACGGCACTGGTACACTTGGATACGTTGGAAAAAAATTACTTTTAAGTGTGGGTACTAAAAGATTCGGAAGTAGTAACGTATCTAAAAAGATTCATACGCCACTGGTACTATCTAAGTATCTAAGTGTATTCATATGGCACTGGTACATTTTTACATAATCTAAATATGTTATGATACGGCACTGGTTACATTTTTTTAGATACGGCACTGGTACTTAGATACGGCACTGGTTACTTCTACATCTTTACTTCGAATATTGATGATTATGTATGATTATCTGCAGTGTTCTTTGTTGCATCTTTCTGAAACTACTTTGCCTCTTTACAGATACTTCATTGCTCCAGTGACGGATGATGAAAAGGCTCATCAGCATGCTCTGCTTAGAAAGATCCTCACTGAGTCAAATACTTTCCATTTCTGGAACAGCTTAACTTCTGGTCTAGTTCCGGAACCATATAGTATGGTAGCAAAGATAATGAACAAGTTTTGTATACACTGCTTGGATATGCTATGAAAATTCATTGCTCCAAGTTTTGAGCTTAATACAATTTTGAGTTTAAACCTCAAATCTCATGTGCCCACATAGAAACATAATTCTCAAAAGAGATAAATTTGCACACATGTTGATACATTAATTGGACCTTATTACAAAAGTAAATATGAATGAAAATTGTACCAAAAAAAGGTTATATAATGAAACTTCATATCAATACCCACTAACAACATATTTTACCATGGGTTGTTATATTTAAAAGAAATCAAATAAAATAAAATAACTGTAGTCATATTAATATATAAATAGTTAATAAAAAGTCATGGAATGAGCATTTACTTGTAGCATTTTGAATTTTTGGCTACCCTTGCACTAGCTCGTAAATTCTTATTCCTTTAGGGTTTTTTTTTGTTTTTATTTAAATTTTTTTTTAATACACTTATTATTTATGGGTGTTATTTCCAAATGCATCTCTCCTATAATTGGTAACTTTTCATTTGTTTTGTGTTTATTTTTTTATTGCAACACTTTGACTAGCAGCTTTCAAAAATATTAAAAAAAATAATAAAAACATTTTGACTAGCACAAAATTAATGTTAATGAATTGCCTAACTGGTTGGGGAATTAGCAACTGATGTAAAAATTAGTGCATGAATAATTTATGTTAAAAATAATGGATGTGAGAGGAATATTATTAAATGTGTGAGTTAGGTAAAGCAGGGATTATGTGAGTTGAGTTATATAAGAAATTGTGAGGTATTCTATTAAGGAAGTGTTGAAAAAAAAAAGAAAAGAAAAAAGAAAAGGGGAATGCAAATGCTGGCACAATATTTTAATCCGTCTTATCCCTAAGGAGGAGAATACAAATGCTAGTAATTCAAGCCAATTGGCAGCACTATGTAACACTTTGTATAAAGTCATTTCAAAATGTATGGTTTATCGAGTGAAATTTATATGGAATGAAGAAGTGCGACAACCAATAAAGAGCAATGTTATAAAATGTTGGAAAAATGCAGGAGTGATGAGAATTCTAATAAGTATACAAAAACTCAAGAAAAAAAAAGAAGGATGTAAAAGGTGTGAGAGCAAAGGTGAATAGAAACCTGTATGCAAGCTTTGATATGAAGGAAGTTAAGGGAAAAAATTAATTTATTAACTTGCTTGTATTAGATACAAAAAGATGCAAGATATTGGAAAAGTCAAGTGTAAAGGATATTGACCAAAAAGTTCTTATTAGAGACAAGGAGATACATGATGGATGGAGGTCTTACTTTGATAAGCTATTCAATGGCGATCAAACCTAAGATATTGGTGATACAAGTGTCTCTCATGATATGGTTAACCAGGAGTTTATGCAAATGATTCAAAAGGGAGAAGTCAAAATTACCTTCAAAAAAATGGGATTGAGAGAGCGGTTGGCATGATGACAATCCTATTTAGATTTGCAGATGTTTTGGAAAAAAAGGAATTGGATGATTATCAACTATGTACAACTAGATTTGAGGATTGATGTAATAAGTTGAAATAAAATATTCTCAAACTCAATTATTACTTTGGATTTTGGATAAGATTAATTATCCATTTAATACTTTCATAAAAACGAATTATATGCACATATTTTGAATATTCTAATATAATCTATATTCTATACTAACGTATATTTCTATATCAAAAGGCGTTAGTTCCTAAGAATTAATGTTCATGTGTCACGTAGACCCCCTCACTACACCACGTCACCCTCACAACTATTCATTATGCCATGTCGATCTCCCTTCCATTTGTTTTGCATTGAATGTCATGCACTTAATTTTATTTTTTATTTTTTAAAAAAAAGTTCACCACAAGATTTGAACAAACAACCTCTAATTTTAGAACTAAGTATTTTACGACCAAGTTTGTATGTAATTATTTGAAAATAAAAAATATTAATATAAAACAAATGACAATATGAACAACAAATTTAATCCCTATACCATATAAAATAAAGTACAAGATTACTCTTATGAATAATGTTGTGTCAATTATACCCTTTAAAATGCGTAATAACTTATATACCTTCATTAATATGTACAAGTTTTTTAAATGAATATAGTGTCAGGACAAATATACCATATAAAGTGTTTAATTACTTGTTCCTTGTTAATGATAATTACCTCTTTTTTTTTTTTTAATGTGTGGACATTTATACCCCTAAATATATTTGTTTACATATTTTCTTCTATTATACTGCCAATAACTAAATTTGTGAACAAAGGTCAACCAAAAGAGATTCTAGATATGGCTAGCTTCGCGCGCATTAGATGCCCTATATAAATAATCAATTTCATGCAAAAACTCGGACATTACCCGGGCCCAAAAAACTAGTTGAATATTGTAACCAAAACAATAGTGGATTGCCCTTACACATCTTCATTTTTCTTTCGTCTCTCTCCGAAGAGATGAAGGGATTAAATTCCTCTTACACATCCTCATTTTGCTTTCATCTCTCCCCTAAGTGCATCGAGCCTAAACCTCAATCAACAATCACCACAAAACCAACCACCAGTGCCACAACCACTCACGCCACCACAACCACCACCCATGCCACCATGACCACAACCACCAATATCCACCATATCTGCCCACAACCACCAAGAGGTACCAAATTTTTTTGTGTTACCAAAATCTCAAACAAACCAACAAAAACAACCATTTTAAAAAAGACCCACAACCTTCCCTCATCGGCAAAAAGGTGGTGGTTTCTTTTTAAATCCGGAACCAGCACAACCGGCGCACAAAACCGGTCACCCAAGACGATTACTGGTTTCTAGCGTTAGTTGTCCATGGTAATTGGCGTCCAAAACCGGTTACCGCAATTCCATGCCATTACCTCCAATCCTAGTCGCTCATGTCCTTCCACCTCACAGGCGCCGCTTTTCTTCACCTCGATGTACAGCTTATGTTGTGGTTGATGGTGATTAGGAAGTTGTGGTTGATGGTGATTAGGAAGTGGTGGTTGTGGCCCTAATGGGTGATGAGAGAGAAAAAAATAAAAGAGAAAGATGAAGATGGGGAAGGGGAAGGGGTATAGTAAGGGTATTGGTGTCCATTCACCTTAAATGTTGGCGGTTTTTATAAAAGATGTTGACGATATTTAACACCCCAAACAATATTCTGACCAAAAAGGAAAAAATCGCTCCGGAGAATTATTTAGCCGCCCACATCCCACCCACACATTTCATTCTTAAAGTTCCAATCCTAACACCAGAGAGGCTCAACACGCACATGTGTGAGTGGAATAACATCCAACCCCAAATAATTTAAAGTACTTCAATATATAAAGAAGGAAAACACTCTTTATCTTCTAATGTGGGACTTGAACTTACTTGTTTTTTCCACTCATTTCTTTCAATTTTGACGAGGGGAAAACTATGTCGTTATCTAATCCTCCCTCGTTCAAACTAAATTTGTAAACACTTAACAAACCTAAATACGAGTATAGAGGAAAGTCAAGGGTCGAACCCAAAGGAACGATAATGTTCAAATGCTTTCGATTTGGGTGCCTAAGCTAGGTCGAAGACGAAGGTAAGAGAGAATACTAACAACTAACAAAACAAGTAACCAAGGAAATAAAATACTAGGAACGGGGATCAACCAGTAATCATGTTAATTGCAACAACTTGGGAAGATCATGCCAATTAAAGGTTGTGAAGACTAATGATAAGAGCAATAAATTGGAATCAAAGAGCTATCTCCTAATTGTTAAGTAGGGTTCACTATGAATAACAAACTAAGAGAATCACAATCAAAACCAATCGACAATTGCAATTCCTAAATCAATTGTTCACGTCATTAGCAATTACAATGTAATTTAGCATAATTCTCAAGGCCTAATTGAATTACACACATGCAAACCTTCATTAATAACTTTAATCTCAACAATCAATCAACACAATTCCCAAATTAATCACAATTAATCAACTATACAAGTTTCACCCAATTCCTAGCCAAACAACTATTCAAGAATCATCATCTATCAACTAACAACTATGGAAATCAAGAATCAATAATATATCAAGAACACCTACACTAATCAAGAGTCAAACATCAAAATTAAATCAAACAAACATGAAATTAAACAAAGCAATAAGGTGAGATAGAGTTAAGAATGCTCATTGATGATAAAGAAGATCTTAAACACAATTGTCACCCTTGTATCTTCAATCTCTCAATCACCATTGAAATCCCTCACTTTCTCTCTCTAAAACTACTCCTAATCTAGAGAGAGAGACTCCTAAACTAACCTAATCCTTCTTAGAGGAGAGAGAAAACTATTCTAAAACTAAATAATTACATGTATGAAGACTAAAGAAAGTCGTACAATATATATACATACAGAGAAAAGAAGTTAAATCACGAATAAAACCAAGAAATCCGCGCCCGCGGAGAAGAAAAGCTGGAACAGAGCAGCCCGAGGTCGTGCCCGCGGCTGAAACCCGCGTCCGTGGCCAGACCGCGGCTGCTCACTGCTCGAAATTGGTCGATTTGGGCTGCACCAACCCCGCGCCAGCGGCCAGCCCGCGATTGCTTGCTAGGCTGTTGGGTGCGCGGCTGTGCTGCTGCGCGCGTGGCTTCTCGGGTGCTGCGAGCGTGGCTACTCGGGTGTGCTGCTGCTTTGTTGCTCGGGCTCGCTGCCTTGATATTCGGGGTCACGGAGCTTGCTTGGTTACTTGAATTGCATGCTTGGCTTCTCGAACTCGGCTCCGTTAACTTCCTTGAATGCAGTTGATCTCCTTCCTTGATTATTAAATCTAGAGAAACTCGAAAAACCTACAAAACAAGTCAAATAAACGGAGAAGCGAGAGAAATAGTTGAGAAATGAACAGAATAATAAGAAAACCATTTAAAGCACGCATTTCTCTAAAATTACACTCAAACACGCAAATCAAGCATTTCCCTAAAAACACGACATAGAAGACTAAAAACGAGCATAAAATATGAAGAAAACCTAGCCTAAGAGTGCCATAAATGGCACGCATCAAATTTATATCAAGAATTTCCATCATAAACTACTTCGTGTCACTCAATTCTTGCACATTCCCATTTTCTTTCTCCCCTTCTCCTTCTTCCTCCTTTTTTTTCTCTCCTCATTCTCAAGAACTTCAAGCTTGACCACCATTGATATTAAAGCTTTTGGGTAGTAATTGTTTGTCATTGACTTCACTGCTTTCTTGTAACCCCTTTTCTACTACTCTTTCAAATTTAGAGTAATTCACTAAATTTAACCATTCTTTGAGTTTGCATTGTTTGTCCTTAATTAAATTTGCAGCTGGTTTCTTTTTTCAGGTATACTTTCTGCAGAACTTTAAACTTCAGTTTATCTTTGTTCTTGAGACTTCTAGTGATAGTCAAATATAAATGGACTTTTTCTGCTGTGATTTTTCAAGTTATTTTTTAATTCAAATTCAACTTCCTAAATTAAGTAAGAGAGTGTAAACACAAATTTTAAATCTGTAAATTATTGATTTAAAACAAATGAAACAAAATGTTAATTTTACTAATTTGATAATTTTGGGTACAATATCTAATTTGCTCCTCTGATTCAATCTCCACTTTAGCTTTGACTTGTTTCACGGTCTGACTTGATTCTTGATCATGAGCCGTCAAATCTTGATGACAATCAAAGACAATTGATGCAAAACTTTGACTTATTGTTGATCTAGACCTTTGACTTGTTGATGTAGACCTTTCATTAGAATTCTTGATTAAGGGCCGACGAGGCTTATTCTTGATCAATGACTATTTGATGTAGAGTTTGATCAATTGGTGATGTTCTTGATGTTTTGAAGTTCTTCTTTCTTTCGTGTTGAGGGCCATTGAGGCTTGATCTCTTCTATAGGTGATCTTCTAGAGTTGAACGACACGTCGAATGCTTGTTTTTCTTATTCTAGGTTTTGAGATGTTTCCTCTAGAATGGTATAGAGTATTTGGGAGGTTTTTTATGGAGAGGTTTAGAGTATTCGAGAGATTTTTTGTGTATTTGTATTTTCCTTGTTTCCTTATCACCTAAGTTAAAATAGAGAGAGCTCTATTTATAGAGTGTGTGACTCCTAGGGTTAGAGTTATATTTGTATTGTGCTTTTGACTTGGAAATCGTGACCTATTATAGCTTTACCCATTTATTGATTTTTAACTCTCATAATGAACCTATTAAAATAAATTTAATAAATTGGGCTAATTTAATATATATAACCCAAATTAAATAATTTAATTAAATTAACATTCAAATAATCATTAAGTCAACAACTTGACTTTTGACTTGTATAATATTCGATCTGGTACTTATATAAGTTTTACGTGCCTGAAAATTGCTTTCTTCAAGATTGGTCTTGGAC